ATACATAAACTGAAGCTTGAGTCCCTATTAATGGTCTTAGGTCTACAGTTTTATGCCATTCACAATGAAAACACATTTTTTGTATTGAACTAAAACTGAAAAGCGATTTCAGCAGCAGAATGTTAATTATTAACAGTAGATATGTGAATTTGGAAGTGCTTAACAGCTTGGCTAAGCTACTGAAAAAGATACCTGTGCATATATACATTTCAAAACTTGTTCTACTACAGCAGAGCTTCCTCTGCAATATAACACTATCAGAAAACATCATATTCTGTTGAGAAATGGCACTTTTTCATTTGAAACAATTAGAAGACACTAAATATTCTTCCTCTGTTCCTGTTACAGCTCCAAGGGATTATGGATGGTGAAATTTACAAACCTTTTATTGTTTTTTTCCCCAGGAAGGAAACAACAGTCCACATTAGAGCATTTTGGTTTTGCTGTCAAAATGACATTCTGTAGTTGCACACCAGGAAACAGCCTAAAAAGCATAAAGCAGCAAAGAAAGCGTTTTTCACCAGCTAAGCATTCTCATTCAAACCTGCCCGTGACAGGGAGGTTGGACCAGATGATCTCTAAGGTCCCTTCCAGCCTAGGCCATTCTATGAAATTCTACAAGATTGCATTAACTGGTGTATAACTAATGAACAAATACCCTTGTTATTTAGCATGCTCATGCTTTTTCAGTGACTGCTAGGTGGCAAAGCAAACATTATTTCACTGTTGCTTGTCTTCTTCTTCTGAAACTTTCCAAGTCCCACAGGAAAGAAAATGTATTTGATGGCATCATTGAAATGCAATATATCTTAATGTTCATCTGTTCTTCTACCAAGCAGATGTCAGAGGTCAAGTGCAAGCTCTTTGCAGGGAAATTAAAGCAGCATGAAAATGATGGTGCTAAGCACTAAATGGAATTACCACCTATGAGTCCAGGTGCCCCTGATGAATTAAGACATTTCATGCAGCTCAATCTACAGCTGGTCTGTAGCTTCACTGTACATTTGTAATAGAACCTTCTTGCCTAAAACCAGGAAATTTCATCCACCTCCAAGTCTGAGAGAATGCTTATTTTGGAACCCCCACAGTGAATGTTCATCCAGGCTCCTGAAGTACCAAAAGGGTCAAATCAGTATGAATACTGCAAAATCCTCATGCTTTAAAGTGTTCAAGAAAAACCTCTTCTTCCTTTTCACACACAGAAGCACTGAAAGCAGTGAATATGCACCAATTGTCATCTGAGCAGCACACGTTGGGCTAGAAACATTATATTTGCAGGGACGCCATCCAAGCATGGACTCCAGCTCTCATGCTGCATCTGCTGTGGAAGCCTGAAAACTTCAGTGAAAATCACCATGAATTACCCTTGCCATTCGGACTTTCAACTTTAAACTTATCCTGCTACGGGTAAGGGCATGAGCACCAAGTTTGCTCCTTGCCTCTCTTACTCCCGCTGGTAAGGCAGACGGATGGCTACAGAACAGAGATTCTCACTGACATGTTACCGCTCAGCTTTGGGTTTAAATGCTGAAATTTCAGTTCAGTTCTGCAGATGCCAGTAGCCAGTCCCAACTTCCACTGAGGGACACCATCACTGGGATTTCTCTGCCATGAATAAAATGAATACATGAGCTTATTCGGAACTGACTGTTCAGGAATAATGTTATCTTGAGGACACACCTTGGTTATCTTCAGAGACATGAGAATTGGAAGGCTACCCCACCTCCCCCTTCTGCAAATGCACATGGGAGAAAAAAAACAAAAAGCCAGAGGAATGCTTTTACTTCTCCTGGCATGAAGTATAGTAAGGCAGAAGTAATTAGAATATTCAGAGAAATAAACAAAGTTGCTAAACCTGGCCATTCTAACAGCATGGAATATGGAAATCCTGAGAGGTCTGCACAAAGAGGCAATTGCACAAAAGCTATTAAAGATTCTCAAAGCTTGGCAGAAAATTGTGTGGTTGTTTATTAGCTTGGCTTCCAAGTCCCTCCCTTGGCCCTCCCACTAAATGCTACTCAGCTTGGAAAACCCCTTTCACAGGAGAGGCTGTCAGGAAGCAGATCTTTAGGCAATCCTGAGGGGTTACCTCGGCCTAAAAATAAATAAATGACCTGACAACTCAGATGTCTGAAATCTGTTGCTTGCCGTATCGAATGCAGACGTACTGCTGATCAAGTTTCTGCCTTCCTACAGACAGATGGCAAAGTAGAGTCAAGTCAAGAAAATCCTGGTGAAACTGCAGAAGTCCTTTGGTGCCAGGGACAGGTGTCTCCAAACTTTGTCTTGAGCGTCCTTTATTCTTACATATCCATAGACCAGCTGCCCTTCTTACACCCTTAAATCTTGGTGGTTATATTGCTGGGGAGGGTGCAGCACCTATCTGAAGTCAGTATCTCTTTTTTTTTCCAGTTACTGAAATGTAATTTAACTCCAATGCAAAGGAATACAAATATCTTTTTCTGTGAAGACTATGAAGCCTCTCAGCTTTTAAAAACACTTCTGACCTTTTTCACATAAATTAACTCTGATGAAAATGTATTCTCATGGGAGCAAAGGCAACTAAGATATTTTTAAAACAGTTACGAAGTGTATCAGAAAGAGCAATATGTAAGAAGTCCATTTATTTTCACGTAAACCCAGATTTTGGTTCACGGAGCAGCAGCCTCTTACAGGACTTTAAAGATTTTTCTGATTTTGATTTTGGCACAAAACATTGTTATATATTTTTCTAAGAAATATGATTTTGAAAAAGCAGATAGTTCTGAGGTTACCTCGTCCAGCTAGCAGATTTTGCTTCACATAGTGGAAATAAAAGGCACAAAATACAGAGCCTCCTCATAAAATATAATTTCTACTGTAGACAAAAGATCCAGCTAGCAGATTTTGCTTCATATAATGGAAATAAAAGGCACAAAATACAGAGCCTCTTCATAAAATATAATTTCTACTGTAGACAAAAGAAGTTATCCTTGAAACCAGACTAACAGAGATTTCATTAAGTTTTATACAGCAGGACTGGTTTGGCTCTAGCTCTATTTAATCCCCTCCCCGAGGTTTAAATCACACTATATTACAAGAGCCTTACTTGCTTAGAGTTAATTACAGATTCCAGTTGGAGCATGACCATTTCTGCACTGAAAGGAGCAACTCAGCTAATAGGACAGCTCTGCAACATCACTTTTTTGGCATCTGAATCCTGGACTTGGCATACCGGATTAAGATCAATTAAAATGTCAACATCAAGATCCTATTACAGAAACAGTAAGACACCAGCATTCTACAAGGGACACTCTTGAACACTTATTTTCTGAGTGGTGTCTCCAGCAAGCCAGGTCCAGCTTCAATACTATTGATTGCCACTCAAAGAGAAATGTTTGTTTCCAAACTCCCCACATGATGGGTCATCTGCCCTAGTAAAGAGCCATTGAGGGAACTCAGCTTCAGCAGAAAGCTTCAGGAGAAAAAAAATGATTTTTAACTTGTGTCAGAAGTCTTGCGTTTGAGCAGCTGGAGAACAAGGAGAAACACTTTTAGGAACAAAGACGTGAAGAGAAGATGGCTCTGCCCAAGCCTTTGCAATTCAATGCACCAACACAGTTCAGCTCTATTTCACAAACGCCTGAGGACTGTGTCTTCCAAGCACCCTGTCCTGCAAAGCTCTTGGCTCAGAGGTGAAGCTCTGCCCTTGTGATGATACTGTAACATTCAATAAAAGACCACTGCGTGGTGTTATGTGTCACTGCTTTGTGTGCTTTGTTTCTGCCATGTAGGGAAGCTGCTGAAAATTCCCAGATGATCACAGAAAGCAGCTTACATACTTCTGGGAGAAGGGGAGTATTGAACCTGAATTCTGTTTCCACAGCCTGGATGGAAAAAAAACCCAACCCTTCCTCAACTCCCAATTCTGATTGTTTAATTCAATGCTGTCATCAGAATGCATCAGTCTATAAAGTATCTGGTAATACTGGAATGCCTATGGATCACAAAAAAAATCCAGATCCCAAACAGGTTTTAGGTGTGTTTTTTCATAGGAAAGCAGAAATCCCTTTTTTTTTTTTCTTTCTCCTAAAATCAAATTATACATAAGGATGTAGAAGGGATGATCCTTCCTGGACTGCAGAAGGTATCAGCAGAAGCCCCAGAGCATGAGAGAAACACAGAGTGAATCTGGTGATTTTAATTTTACTGAGGTTTACTGCAGCCCACTCCTCTTTAAAATACCACTTCCTCCTCTTCCTGGGCTGAGACACTGTCTGCTTAGAGATTAAACTCCTGAGACCAGAATTAAAATACAGGCCTTAGGGTCTAAGTATGAATATAATGTCAAGAATGATTCTGGAAGAACAATATCAGTATCACCCAATACTGAAAATCAGCAGTGTTTTCTGGAGAGGTAACAAGACTAATAACAACTGGTGGAGTATTTTTTTGCTTTGCAAAATCAAACCCTAATTGCTACAGTGCCTCAGAGTATAGACAGGTAGTAGGCAAATACTCACATCTACTTTACAGCTCTACAGCCTAGACGGGAAAGATATGAAGAGGCAGTTCAAATACTGTGCCTCTGCTAAATCATTAGGGAGTCTGACTACGAGCTCTTGTTAGCTCTGCAGGCAGAACTAGGTTATACACGTATGTTTAAATTTTGGCTTTTTAGAGAACATTCTGTCAAACGGTATCAGGAAAAATTGAACCTGAACAATCTGGATATAGCTGTGGTTTTGAGCTGGTTTTTTTTCATTTTTTTCATTTTTTTCTCAAACCAGTATCTGGTCTACTCTCTAGAAATAGTTACAGAGCTAACAGTAGAGTTGTTGAAGAGTATCTATTGTATAGCTTGACTGAGAATCTAAGAATTCTTCATGCTTTCCAGCCTCCAATTTTCTCTTCCTTGTGGAAATAAATGACAGAAGAGATAAACTGGTCACATTTTGAAGTCTCTTTGGAAAGAAAGAACAATTTAGCAACATCATTATTATAGACTGTAACACACTTAGGAACATCATGTAATATAAGCTTTTTAATAATATTTGACTTAATTACCCAGATTACTGTCTCTTCAGTATTTCATGGTTATCACTGAAGACCTTCAATTTACATTCTTAAATAAGTTATTGTGTAAATAAAGTATGCTCAGAGTTCTTGTATGTGGACAGTACTTACATTTAATTACAGATGATCTGGAGATACTTATAGGTTCAAAATACATTAAAATTGTTTACAGGAAATAAGCTCAACTAGCACTAACTGGAATCTAAACGTTCACAACAGCACCGACAGTAGCTCAGCTATTTATTTGAACATGCTTTTCAAAATGTACTTTGGAACTCAGTAAAAAAGAAACTGAAAGAAACGCCAAAAAGAGGGAAGCACAGAAGATCAAAACTCCATAGCAGGTTGGATCAATAAAATATTAAACTGCAGTTTTTAAATGTAAGTACTACACCAAGTAGTAGTCTGGTTGGTCTTAAACCATGTTAAAGCCCTTGTTTGCTAAAGGAGACAGTAATAAGCATTTTGCCTATTCAATCCAATCAAGATTTAGGCATCGTGCTATAAAAGCAAACATATCTGACACCTCTTCTATAACTTTAGCAGTTGGCTTTCCCGCTCCATGCCCAGCCTTGGTGTCAACATGGATGAGAAGTGGGTTGGTTTGTTTACGGCTTCGGCCCACAATGTACTGCAGAGTAGCGATAAACTTCAGCGAATGTAGAGGGACCACACGATCGTCATGGTCCGCTGTGAGAAGCAGCGTAGAGGGATACTGGATGCCATCTTCTTCTGGTAGTTTGATATTGTGAAGTGGAGAGTACCTGAGAAGAGCACACAAATGTTTACGCACTCTTTTCCTCAAGATCCAACAAGAAGGTCCTCTTGTACTGGAATTGTCACAGTGGCATTTGACAGCACTCAGAGTACCACAGTTCCCAGTTGCATTTATCAGAATGACACTGCTGGCAACTGGCACGTGGTAGCGGCCACAGATCTCCAGCTCTCAAATGGGAAGCAAGTACATTTCTTTATTTTCAGAGAGGCACCTCACAGAAATGCCAAAGATATCAGGAACTGACAACACGGAATCTGCAGCAAAAGCTGTCAAGTCTATAGTAGGATCCATCCTACTAGGAAAAAGGGGAATCGAGACTTTTTCCCAGCATATATATTCAGTCCAGGTCTGCATGTGGATGGCTTCTTCCCATGCAAATTTGGAAACAGACTCTGATGGCAAGACATAAGTACTGTACAGTTATTAAATTTGCTTCCTCCAGTATTTAGGCCGTCTTTGAACATGCAGGAAACTGAAAGGAGGGCTCTTAAGTTTTCCTGCTTTCAATAGACTACCTCGATTCTTACTTTTTGACCAATGAATAATCTCTTTCAAAATTTGCTTTCTTCGCAGGAGAATTTACATCCTTCAGCTACTGTAACATAACATAAAAGGTGTAGCTACTGTAATATAATATAAAAAGTATATCTACATAACACAAAGTACTCTCTAGTATTAGAAATTAGATGTAACAGTAAGTCACAAAGAATTCCCTCCAACCATTTCATGCTTCATTTAAACATAGCCACACCTAGGAAGAATGTTACAGTCCTTAAATCAAGAGTAGGCTACTATTTTCCCCCCCACTTTACTAAAGGAAATACAGAAAGAAATTCAGCTTTATTTTTGAATGAATTTCCCACTTGGAGGAGTACTCATTAAGTCAGTCCAAATTATTTTTACGAACATGTGACAATATTTGAACATCTAATCTAACAGAATCCTGAATTCCTCATTTTGATCCAAGGAACAGTGTAACTGAATTTGCAAACTTTGGTTTGTTTTGAAAAGAGGTTAATGATAAGTCACTACACGCCACTCTATTTGCCTTATGTATTCTTTTGGCATCTGTAAAGGCAACATCTAAGCAATATTACATTATGTATCTTTGATACTCAATTTCCAGCTGTTGAAAAGAACAGTAAGAAATATTTCAGGTATTGCCATATAATGTGTAGTTATGGAGCGACTCCTTCTACAGATGCATTTCTCCTAACCACAGAATGAATTTAAAACTTTGCTTCTACTTTAGCACTTCAGAATACCTGAATTCACAGATGTGCAGGCAAGTTTCAGTGTCCAAAATCACGAAAATTATTTGGATAATTTTTACAATTACTATTTTATCTATTATGTAAGTTATCTATTGATAAAAGATGAATTATGAAATTCGTTAATTGTTTTTGTGCACGATATTTACAAAAATGTGTTTGCCACTGAAAGCTTAAATTAGACAGCTGGAAGTTTTGAAATAATCTAATTACAACAGGTCCAACTGATCATCTATTATTGGGACATGACATTGATTATTTGTTCTAAATAAATGCTTTAGATCAAGTTAGATCTTAGTGTACTTGTAGCACATGTACTTTTCTATATCTAAGCCAGCCAAACTGTTTCATGTGTCCGAAGCATTCTACTGCAATGTCAGTCTTCATAATTAAAGGAATACAAATGCAATAACAGAAGTTGAGGTTCCTGAAAAAAATTTAAATGATGGCACTTATTCTAACACATTAATTAGTAGCCATATTCAATGTGCAGACTATTTCTGTTCTCTTGCAGCTGTCTCTCGTCTCTCTCTTTTTTATTTTTTAAAATAATCTTTCCAGCCTTCTCAGCAAGGAGTTAAGAAATGAATTAATATCCTATTATGGACTACTGCCATTTAACATCTACAAATAAATCCCATCCACACTGTATAATATAATTTACAGTAAGCGATAGTTTTCCCCCAATTTTAAAAAATACAGTTTATGTAGTTGTCCATTTGACATTATTTTGTTGTGACAGCCTAAAGGAGTCATTATTCAGAAAGAAAACCTTATAAGTTGCTAAAGCTCCTAGTAGAACAAGGTCTTTGAAACTACGACCAGTTGACTTGACAGGACTTGGAAGACAGTCTTTCATGCAAAACTGACTTGTAAGGAAATGCTGAACTCACCAAATTCAGTGTGGGAAAGGATGAAATAATTTTTGGAATAGCTATAGATCACAACAACCTGGAACTGTTGAGCAGACCCTCATTTTAACAACCATATAAATATTTAAAGGCACTTACTTGCACAGCCATTCAAACTGCTCTTTACAGTCGGAGCAACCATAGTCAGTGGTCCAAGCGTGGCCAATGGTGTACTTGTGGAACTTGAGCATGTCCATCACTCCCACTTGGGCAATCGCACAACCAAACAGGTCGGGGCGCTGATTAGCACAGGCAGCTTTGACAAGAGAACAGCTCGATTAGTGTTCGTAACTTAAACAATTAAGCTCAGCAGTGAAAGGTCCAATGCCAAGCTGACTAAAGACCAACTTCCAACAAGCTGTCTAAACACATAGTTTCTTTCTTTAAAAAATGTAAAACTGTGAAGTTAAAATTATGTGAGAAGAAATACAGATTACCATATAATACCTGGAGCCAAAAATTCAGTGTAAAACACCTGATATAAGCCAAATTGCACTGGGAGAAGACCGCCAGTGAATAAGAAGTCAAATAGACTTTTAAGCAAAACTGAAAGCACATACGTTCAAAAGAACCTAAGAGCTATTCCCCAGTTCTCTGGGCACCAAACATACTGTTCTTTGAAAATGGCCTTCCAAACTAGCAAACTGAGTTTAGAGGAGAAATGCACTTTTGAAATATGTGAGCTTCTCGAGTCCTGAACTGAAGCTTCCTAAACTATTCATTGTCTAAACTTTTAATACAAGTATCAACAAAGAAAAGGGTATTAAAGAACAAAACCCCACCATTTATTGATTAAAGTGTTCTTCCATAATTACCGTGTAAACCCATATGAAAAGAGTTTTGACAAAAGCAGACTACTACAAAATCAGAGGAATAACATCATCTTAATAAAGCAAATGACTGTTGTATTTTCTTTCTTTATGATTTCCATCCTCTTACTACTGGAAGAGACAATTTCTTTAAGAATAACGCTTGCCTCATATTTAAAAATAACCACAGTAGGCCCATCTAGCTCAGTGTTCAATTTATAAGAGTGACAGCTGGCAGATGTTCTGGGAAAAGGTGTTAAGCAAATACTGGGAGGTATTTCTTGTACATTATCAGTTTCTGAACTAGTTGTTTAGGTTTTCCCTGAGTCCAGCCATCAAAACACACATCCTCTGTAAATACCTCTATTTCCTTTCTTAATGTTTATTCATCTAATGTTCATCATATCCTGTAGCTGTAAGTTCTTCAATTCCAATTTCTGTTGCTTGGTGATTTTATGAATTCCCTTGCTTTTTTTTGAATTTGAAGAAATAAAAGCACTGAGATTTTCACATAACTACTACAATGGATTCCAGGATATCCTTCTTAATTCAGAGCTCATCACTGTGCACCCACATGTAGGTAACATTATTTTCCAGATTCTTGTATCTTCTCATTTTTGTCTATTGTGAAAATGGATCATTTATTTCCATTCTTTGCCTCCTGCTAACCAGGTTATTGCTATGCCATGACCTTGCATCCAGCTCAGTAATAACTTTCTTGCACTGCCTTACGAAAGGGATCTTGTCAAAAGCTTTTGAAAATTCAAATATAATTCCTTACCTAGATCACTGTTACAAGCACCATAAGCCGCCTGACTCCTTCAAACAGCTCTAATAGATTGGGAAGATGTAACTTCAGTCTGCAAAATTCTTCCTTATATGTCATCTATTTCTTACTGGTTTCAACTGGTTTGCCCATTAGATAAGTCAGATATACTCATCTGCAGCCTGTGGATCACTGTGAACTATTTAAAAATTGGCATTACGCTTGCCCCCTTCTGTTCCTCAGATATTCAGGCTTAATAGCCTGCAATTTCATATCAGAGTTCACTTAGGATCTTGTGTGTGCACCATCTGGTCCTGGCAACACACGACTTCACATTTTCCACACTGTGTTCATATTCCGAAAGCTCTTCGGCTGATGCTTCAGCTTGAGTTGGCTCCTCAGAGTATTCCCTGTGGAGAGAGACTCTGGTGCAGGGAACTCCCCACACTCCTCGGGAGGGAACATCAATACAAATAGACCATTTAGTTGTTCTGCTCTGCCATTATCTTTCTTTAGTGCTCCTTTTACATCGTACTAACCTAGAAGTCCCAGAGCTCCTCTGGCCAGTTTCCTGCTTCTGATGTGCACAGAAAGCTCTCATTGCTAATCTTTACCTGGGAAGTAATTTGCTTATCAGTCTCCTGTGGTCCGTTAGCCCTCGTCAGAGTTTAGGCTCTACCCATTTTTCTTCATTTGAATGTGATTTCTATTTTCTGAAGGATGCAATTTTACTTCTGGTCATCTCTGATATGTATCTATGCTAACTCTTCCTGGGTCCTTTCCAAACCATTTTCATAAGGTATATATAGTGCCTTAAACAGCTGCCATGTAAAAGCTCTTTATCCTTTTAACTGAAGCTTTTGATCGGATGCCTCCCCTTCATGTTATTCTTTTATAAACATAAATTATATTCTGCTAGGAAAAGAAGCTAAACCAACTATCATAACATATAATTTTAGTACTCCTTATTGCAGAGTGCCTCTTGAAGCACTGTATGTTGCTCAGGATTTTATAAAAAATTACTGCTCCTGGTTCCCTAAATGGTTACTTCACTAAGACATCACCTATGGAGACACTCATCCATTCCCACTGGCTGTAATTAGCAATAATACTTAATTATAGGCATCAATAAACTGTAACCTGGAACAACAATGTATTCATGAATTTCACTCCTCTACATGCACTGTGAGCTTTAAAATTCAGCACAAGGCTAAGCTTTCAAAACCACAGAACTCCCTGTCTAAGCAACCAGGAGAGGTCAAGCGCTGCATTTGCGTGCGGGTTTTCAGCTCACAGCTGTGCTGCTCCACTCAGCTTTGGGATCACACTGCAGGACAACGAAGTCTTGTTTTGCAGTTGAATGAGGCAAGAGCTCAGGGCTCTGCCCTCCTCAGAGACACCTCCTGTTAGTCTGATGAAAAGGAAACAGTATTTTGGAAGAGTGACAATACACTTTTTTGGAAGAGTGACAATACACTTCCTCGTCAGTTCTTCCTTCAATAAATGAGAACTAAAAAAATCTGGCAGTGGGTCCTTGCACCGGAAGTATGAGTTATGCTCTCTAGTGCTGCATGAACAACAGTTGTAAAATCTAGTTCTGCCTTGCTGAAAAAAGCATTTACAAGAATTTCCTAAATTCACTGAATCCTAGCCAGTCAAGGAAAATCCTCATCTGGCTCATGGAAAGCACAGAAATCCAGCTGGATTGTAATCCATCTGCAAGCACAAGGGAAGGTTTCTAACAACAGATTTTTCAGAGCAGGGAGGTCTAGATAACCAACACCTGTCTCCTACTGGAACGACGCACACTCTGCAGATGTCACTTGCTTCCCTAAGCTAAAACAAGAAGCTCAGATGACTTGTTTAGCCACAAACACAGTTTTTTTGGTGACTAAAGCTGGGTAGGATGAACTTCATCTGGACTGAAACAGAAGTCCATGTAACCATAAAATAGTATTTTTCAGAAGCTATGTAACATGTTGAAAGTTTAACTGCATCTCCAAATACATATTTACCCTCCCGTAAAATTGACTTGTGCAACGCTTGCACTCCCAAGGGTGTGCAAACCCTTTAATCCTTTACCATATTCATCCATTTCTATTGGTGCTCTTTCTTTACAACTCACAAATACCTCCTGCCACCTGTAACCGAGAAGCATGTAAGCAGAAAGCAGTATACAACTTTACATGTACTTGTTATTTATCTTTAAAACAATCGCTTTTTTAAAAATAAGAATGCAGGAATAGCCAAGATGGCTTAGATGAAAGATCTGTGTAACTCCTGTTTCTTATGATGGATGCTATTTCACACAAAAATAAAATCAAATAAAATCAACAGAGCCAGTGTTCAGCAGCAAATAAACAGAGAGGAGTATAAAAACAAGAGCAAGCAAACAGTGGGCCTAGTAAATCTGCTCATTTTCCATAAATCAGCAGTTTATGAACCTGAAATGTTTTTTTTCCCCCTTGTCACAGGAGTAGCTCAACTCTGTCATACTGTCACATGCCTTTCAGGCTGTTTTAAAAATCATGCACACAAACCCCAATATTACTCATTTGTGTTTCCTTCTCATTTCAAAATTGACTAAAATCACCTCCCTTTTTCTTCTACTACTTGCTGATACAGGGATTTAACCAGAAATAGATTTTGTACCTCTTTAAATACTGCTTAGACTATGAGACATTTTTGTTACAAGTTTTTCTGTTTAAGAGGTGGCTATTAATCTCCTTGAATTTAAGAACATAGCGGTGAATTATATGGGAACAGGATGCATTTGTAACACAGTGCTACATTTACACAGTCCCTCAAAAGCTCCTGACTTTTTCAAGTAGCTGTACTTGCATTTTACGTTTCTCATCAGAGACATTAATGATTTTATTGGTGGTCATGTTTTAACTACACAATGAAAGTAGAGTCAAATTGTTACACGTCCCCATAAAAAGGATTTAAATGCAGAAATGTCATGTATTCATTTGCCTTCTAAGAAAAAGAACGTATGTACAGAAAGAATGAACCAGAAACACTGATGAAGGACTGGGGGGCACGGGGTTCTGGCTTACGCTACAGATCACACAAAGGTTCCCAATGCTGCGTAAGAGATTTCTGGTTATTCAGTAATGGTTAGCATTAAGAAAGAAAAATTTTTAAAAAATAGAGTTTTTACAGCATTCTTATTTACTGTGTTGCTACCACAGGATTAGGTCTACCACACAAAATTAAACCTGTAAGTATAGCATTTAACAGACCTTACTAGAGACTGCAGAATCCCAATGCCCTATGCAAACAGCAAATGAAATAAAATTGCATATATCTAAAACCTTACCTGACATTCTGGCAACTTCTGAGAAGAGGACCTCAAATTTTTGCCTGGTTACTTTGATAAGCCTAGCATCAAACCCAGGAAATACAGAAGCAGGTCTTACCAACTAAAAGGCCCCCATTTGAGCCTCCGTTAATAGTCAGCTTCTTTGGGGATGTGTAACCTTCCTTGATGAGGTATTTGGCAGCACACTGAAAGTCATCAAAGCAATTTTGTTTGTTGGCCAAGATACCACCTAGCACACAAATAAAACAAATCAGTTGATGCCATAAAATCCATTTGACACCATCTCTTCAGAAAAACATGTGTGCAAAAATACCTGGGAACAATTCCAGTTTCATGAACATTTTAATAATAGATGCAGCTCTGAAAGACAGCAAATATTGAAGATTCTTTCAACATAGACAGGGTATAAGATGGTTCTGTCAATAACTCTAATGCTATCAGAAACTCTGAATAATACATACCTACACCATGCAGTGAGTGCCAGGTAATGTTCTTACCCAGTGAAATTAAAGCTAAAAGCTTTGCATTGCAAAATATATAGAAAATGACCACATACAGTCCACCTGAGGTTTGATCAAATGAGACTTTAACAGCACTAAACTCAGCAACACTTTCTTAAGGCAAGAAGACTCCAACTTATAAAATAAGCACTAATTTCCTGGACATAGAATATGGGCCTGCTAATTTTTTTCTATTAGTTGTTTTCAAATCAGATGATATATAGCTATGGTCAAAAAGGCACTTCAGAGTTGCATCTTGGTTTGTAATTTTATTAATTGACTATCAAGATGGAAATGCTTAAGATGCTGCCATCCTGCTTAACTTTGAAGGATGTACGAGGAATAAATCATGCCTGAAAATGTCGGTCCAGATGACATCACTGGTAAGACTTCCACTTCTCAAAAAAATTTTGCAGGGTGGGATAGGGAAGGAAAAGGATATGTTTCCCCCTACAATCTTTCTACTATGAGCATAAGAATATGAACCTAGAGAACTCACAGTTGACCAAATCTCATACTTCTTTGGCAAGAGACTAAAATTGGCTTCTTCTTAGAGGTTATCCTACTTTAAGACCTGGTATGTACTTTCTCAGGCAATTATGTGCAAGTAAGGAATGAGACCCAGCAAGAAGATGCTCATATTCCTGTGCTAGTCAGGTAAGAGGGGCTCAGTGGATACAGAAGGGAAACTCCAGTTCTTTCTACTTTATTTAAAAGCTGGATGTTTGCTCTAAGTTAATTGCCTGAGGATCTGGCTACAGTCCAGGAACCTGCAAACACACATAATTCTCACATCCCAGGGCTTGGACTAGATGATCTTTCAAGTTCCCTTCCAACCCCTAACATTCTGTGATTACGTGTGACTGATTAACAAGACTATTGAAGAAAGACATATAGGGACAATGTAAAATCTTCAAATGTGTGGCAATAAAAGAGAAATAAACCTTACTCTTTGCTCCAGGTTCTGGTCTGGTGTAAGGTTAGATTCCTATCTATACAATTAAACCTAATTAAACAGACTTCTGTAATTGCTTCTGGAATTAACAAAGAACAGATACATATCTTCTTCTGCAACTGCAATAAAAGACTCGGATCAAAATTAAGCAGGAAATAGGTGGACCAAAGAAGCATTTTCATATGAAGATAAATATTATTAAAACCTACTACAAACCAATCAGCAAATTAAAATTAATGATGGATACTTCATCTTTAGCAATAATATCCTGTATCAGCAAGTATATATAGCTTCTGTTTATGAAGCTATTATATATTTAACTCAATTGTGAGGAAATGACCCAGACAAAAAGTTACCACAGATGAAATAGTAAAACCAAGATATAATGACCTCAGAAGAGTGTTTTGTTTGATAAAAAAGTTATTATGGATTACTCCCATGGCAAACTGCTGCATCATAAACACCACTGTTTTGGTGCATTTGCCTTGCTGACAACATCTCCAGCAACTTATCCACTAGATTCTTGGGATATGAATAAGGTGTCACAATTAAATAATGATGGGTATGTTACACAGATGAGTAGGTCTTTCTACATCTTTTTCCTCTGGTGAAGGGATAAGGAAAATTACCAACATAATGCAAGTGTACTAAGACAATTAAAGGATTGAAACAAGGATTGGAGGGGAGAAACCTGGAGAGAAATACACCAAAGGCATTAAGAAAAGTGGAAAAGAGATTGACTGGGTTTTGTAGTGAGTGACTTGGTTTCCCTGCAGCACAAAAGTCAGCTTAGAATACCTCCAAAATGTCGAATGTCCGCCCAAAAGAAATTACCTGGCCCCCCCACCCCGAGAGTGGAAGGGAAGACAGGTCACTGCACTTGCGGAGCTGAGTGTTTTCATGTGACCTTCAATTACATTCAATAAATAGATTTAAAAAGAGTCTATTCATAAATTGTGCAAAAACAATCTGGAAGAGTTACATTCTGAACTCAAAAGTTCACACTTTCTGTAAGATTCTACAATTTACTTTTTCTGTGTGTGTGATACTAAAAAAGTCTAAATAGTCAGTGATGTTGTCTTGGGGATCTAGAATTGAGGGGCTGCATGCACTGACAAATAATGAAAGAGGTATGTGAAAGCAAGCCAGGTCTCCTCCAACACAGATAGATTTTTTTTTTTTGAAAATCAGTTCAAGATAAATAGCTGCACTTTCAAATCCTTAAGTCTAGGGAACTTATCTTGCTTAAAAAAATCCAGTAATTTTCTTGGAAAGCACTGTGCTTGTGCAAAACTATTTTTAAGTAAGTTGCAAAAATTAAAACAATCTAAAAAAATCATCAGGTAACATTGGACAACACAGAGATCTAATATGAGTATAGAAAAAATGTACTTTCCTACAGCATAAGTAAAAGGCAAAAGGAGATGTGAGTGTGGAAGAGGGAGTGAAGAGAAAATGCTGTAATTTTCATTGCTAAGCCTGTAGTTTTGTTCATCTACTTGACTGATTTACCTTTGTGCCAGGTCTCTCCATATTCACCACCACCCCTGATGTTCGCCACCGCTAGAACACCCCCTAGGTGTCGCACAAAAATGAGTCTTGACACACTGAAAAACCAAACAGATGAAGGATTATTTTTAATTTCCAATTTTTATATCCCTACCGCTTCCAGAAAAATAATTTGAGGGAACACTATCTCCTGAAATTAATGACTAAATTGTGAATGAAGTCCTTCTTGATGGCAAACCTGAGCAGCCAGGCTTTTTTCAGTGGTTATCCATGGAAAAAAAAGCTTTTACAACCTTGAGACAGGAAGGAACCAGTGAGGGTCCATTCCTCCTCATTTAGGTCTGCACTTCGGAGGGGAGTGGCCAGTGGCCCGGCCTAACAGAAGATCCCCCTAGGACATTTTATTTATTATCTTCAAAGCCTTCAGCGTGGGGCCTAGAGCTATGCAGTACCAGTGGACCTCCACGGCTTTCTGAAGTGTTCCTCTTCTGCGGGTCCTCCACTTTTTCAGAGAGGAAAGGAAGACTTAGCCCAAATGAAGCAAGCAAAGAATTAGGATCAGCACTTCATCTTTGTTTATGAGTAGATATTTTCAAATTCTGTTTAACATACTTTTTTTTTTGACCTTTATGAAGATGGGTTTGCAAAGAAAAACCCTGCCTCTACCAGTTTTATGCCAGGGTCTGCAGGCAAGTTTTGGCCAATCTCCTATTTATTTTTCACTTCCTTTGCTACATACAAAAGAAATAGTAAAAAATAAAATTACAAGTTCTGTCCTCTCTCGTGTCTCTAAAACCTGGTTGAAAGTAAAAGTAAAGATAGAGATTTCTGTACTTTCATAACCCATCAAAGGGAAAACTTTCCACCTAGGTTGGTTATCTGTGGCCATCAGATGGCTCAGGAGGCATGAATTATTCCCGCCTCTGCAAAATCAATTCTGAAGTCCAGCACTGCAATTGTATTTTCCTTAGATTGCTGTGACATGCTGATCAGATGCAAGATTGCTACACAGCTAATGTGGAGTAGCCTGACAGTTGGTTGTCTCATGTGATTGTGGCTTCTTAATTTTTGGTATGTTAGAGTCACACAACCTCCCAGGGTATTCTGCACTTTGTTTCCCTCTCTCTGTTCCAAAGACAATCAACAGCAACGTTTTGGTACAACCTTACTCAGTCTCCTAGCAATAAAAGGTAGCAAGTATAGGTATTGCTGGTAAGGTAAGAGCTTGCTACCCAAATATACTGCCTGAGAATATTTTAAAAATAAAAAAGTCCAGAATTGAGTCCATCCTCTCTCATCTGCTGAAAGAAACTGTGACCAACTGAAGTAACAGCATACTGAACTAGCAAAGAATCTGTGAGCAATGCAAAACCAAGGTACTGAGTGCATCCCATCCTGTCCACGGACTCCTCTAACATTGATGATAATTTCTGGAGGGGTCTAAGTGACTTAGAATTTCATGGGATATGCAGTACTCTTATTATAAGAAGCTAGTCCCCATTTCCACAAGCAAAAAATTTTTCTGTCGCACAGACCCTCCATGGGATAAAGTCCAGAGTTTGGCAACAATTGTTATGTTGCCCAAATTCTAAGTAAGGTTTAGTGTATCTGCTCACTCTCAGCAATACTACTGGGATTTAGGCACTTCAGAAAACATTACCCCATTATACCCCAACATATACATCTAATAATGTCACTGCCAAAGATTATTAATTAATAACCACACCAGTATAGCCAGAGTAGGAAAGAACTCTGAAGC